ACTAAACAAAATGTGATGCCAGGACATCACTTCTTTTGTAGATTTTCTATAGGACAATGGCTTAATTTAGACCAGAGCTGCAGTGTTCAGAGAATGTGTTTGTTTCATTCTCTCCCTTGCACTATTTTCTCAGAGTTGCCAGTTGCTCCATGTGGCAGACCAATCATATAGGTTGTATATGTGCCCCCAATACCGGAGGCAATAGCAGCTCTGAGGGGTAATTTTGTAATATCCCTCACCATTTATGTTGCCCTCTTTCAGTCAATGTAGACTCTACTACAAGTTATAGCCGTTCTGCAAAGGAAAAATGGTCCATATGACATCATGGTGACAGGTGTGTCTGCCCACCTGTCAAAGTGGCCAATGGAAGGGTGGACAAAAATTAGCATGAGGGAAATGGCTCCTTATCCAACTTCTTGGCCCTGATCCAAAATATGTCTCTGAGTGGTCATATCCTATTTGCCCTTAAAACCAACCAACCAACCAGCAGGACATTCAGTCATGGATCTCACATCATACCATCTAGTTGCAGCCCAAGTCGTGATTTAAGCCTGAGTTTTCTTCAAATGTAGGACTACAACTCCCATCATACCTGGCCACTGGATATGCTGGCTGAGGCTGCTGGGAATTGTAGTCCAAAAAACACCATGTTGGCTACTCCTGCAACCAATACATAACACAGGAATAAATTATTTAAGTTTGAGAAATGATTCAGTGATGTGAATGAGCTAATAGGTGAGAACAGATGCCATATAATATAATATAATATAATATAATATAATATAATATAATATAATAATACACCTTAACAGCTATGTGCCACACAGTAATTGTATTAAAAAGCACATAAACCGTGCCTGCAAGCTTCCAATCTAAGATATATAAGATAATGCAGAAAAGGAAGAGGCTATCTGGTATCTTGTATCTACTTTAATTAGGAGACTGGAGAAACAAAGAAGGCTTGGAACTGTTGGGGAAGCAAATCAGAATCATAAAATCTGAGCTCAGTTGCTTTCTTCCAACTTCACCTGCTAATGCCAAAAGGAAAAAAGCACAAGGCACCCACCTCTTCGGTCTCTTACCCCCAAAGCTAGCACCCACAAATATCTGTTGCAAACCCTTCCTCATCCATGCAATGATTCAATCAGGTTCATGAGCATCAGATGCTGGCTCCGTTGTGACAAGTGGCAGCATATAATGCAGAAGGTATTCTTGTCCCATTGTCCAAAGAAGCCCTATTTCTTATACACAGCTAAAAAAAAGAAGAAGACCTGCACCAATGATATTTCCTTTTTAAAAATAAAAATAAAAATGGGGGGTCCACCTTTTCATGAGTGATTTTGCTCCCTTAACTGAGTACTGCAGTAAGAAATAAAAGGAGGTAATAAAACATACTATGTTACAATGTGCCCATTGATTCTTTGAATAACAAAGAAATCTAGCTGATGGGATCATTAGAGCCCGTAAAACTTGAAAGCAGCCCAATCCTGCCCATGTTTACTCAGAGGTATGCCCATTTGCAGGTGATCTTCCTTAAATTCACCTGCTGAAGTGGACTGTAGTTCATAGAACTCTATGCCATAATGTATTTGTTAGTAAGCAAGGTGTCACAAGAATCTGTTGCTTTTGCTGCAACAGAGAAGCATGGCTACCCCTCTGAAAATGGCCACTTATTTCAGGGACCTTGCTTCCAAATAAGTGGACATGTGTCTGTAGCTTATGGCTTTCCCCCCTGACTTTGAATTCCCCACCTGCATTCCAGCTATGCTGCCCACAGTGAAATATATTGTAACATTTGCATTCATCCAGATCATACTCCCAAATGTGTGCTAAAAGCAAACACATTAAGATGTATCATACTGACATACTATGAGACTGAACAATAGACTCCAGTCTATGCTGCTTGTAAATTGAAATCTGGTCAGGTGTCTGCTTTGCACTCTCTTCCTCTCTCTCTCTCTCTCTCTCTCTCTGTGTGTGTGTGTGTGTGTGTGTGTTTGTGTGATGCAGGTATAGGATGGAAAGTTAGTATCCACAGAGTATCTGGAAAGAGTTAATCATTCCTGCATCACTCATTTGGGAAATCTGGAAGTTGGTGGTGGACAAGGAGGGGGGGGGCTCTATCCAACAAGATAATGAGCATTTGGGATGAAAGAAGTTGCTGCTGACTCCATTCTGATCATTGTAAGACTGTCCTTCCTCCAAGACAAAATGAAAAGGAAGCTCCTCGACTCTTAGTGCTACATTTCAGAGATTTAGAATACTATACAGTGAACTTGGAGGTGTGCATTGTAATCCTGCCTTAGGTAGCTTTTGTCATTTCCTCTTTTCCACCCTAAACCGCTCCAAAATTAAATTAAAGTACAATTTAACACATACATTTATAAGTTTGCATTTCAAAAGAAGGCTCCCGGTGAGAGACAATCTGCCGTTCTTTCTATGGGATGCTCAAAAGAAGCTCAAGAGACTTGTGTCGCAGAAACCTTAGCATCTCTCACTTAAGTGCAAATGTTTTTATGGAAGCCCCCAAACCTGGCTCACAACATCAATTTCCATCTCTCCCACCACAAGCTTTCAAACTGCAGTTGTGAATTGCTGGGGAATTGCTACCTCCTCTCACTATAAGCACCATTATCTGAGTGCTATTTAGATGGAACAGAGGCAGTTGCCTTAGACCATTTCAGTTTATTGGTCCATGTGGCTAAGCATTGTCTAGCATGACTTGAAGCAGTTCTCCTGGGTGTCAGATAGGAATCTGTTTGAGCCCTACCTAGATGTTGTGGGTTGAAACTGGAACTTCTGCAGACAAGACATGTACTCTACAATTAAGCTACGACTCTTCCTCTAGCTATAAATGGTTTGTACATGTAGCATCACTATGGGCTGTGATGAAGTCCATTGTCCTATTCCTTTTTTTTAGATACAATTTATTAATTTTATAATAACAAAAAACAAACAAACATCATAATCAAAATTTTAACTCATACATCTTAATTAACTTCCCTCCACTCCCCGTCCTAGTTCCATTACTTTACACTTATTCATACATGTCCATAGAATCTTATATCTTAACAGTCCAAATTTTAAAATCTTAATCATGTTGCTACAAGTGCATTGGTGGTTCAGTGGTAGAATTCTCGCCTGCCTCCCTTTGTCCTATTCCTATGAGTTTGAGTTTGTGTGTGAGAGAGAGAGACAGAGAGAGAGAGTGACAAAATGGTAGTAATGGGGGGGGGAGAGAATCCTAATTTGGGTGCTCATGTCTGCTATGTACACCTGAAAAGATGCTTCTACTGATAGGAGTGGGAGCTTTCCTTTGAGTGAAAACTTCAGGTGTGGTCCCTCCAAAATGGATTCGGACTGCGGGAAGAGAAAGAATGTTAAAGCTCTCCACAAGGATCCTGATCTGGATCAGGAGCCCCTACCTGGCACTTAGACTTCACTTGTTCAACCATAGTCTGGATCCATAATTATTTTAAAAGTGTATTTCTTTTCAAAAATAAGGTCTTCAGAGGATGAGCGTTCCTGGCTTTCACCACTCAAGGGCATAACACCCATCTAGCTCCTTAAAACTCGACCAGCCTTCAAATGTTCCAACATTTCAGAACTTCCTTTTTAACCTTTTAGTTTCTTCAAGGGCTGTGCATGCTTCCTCTCCAGCACCAGAGCATTCAGTACTCTGCATGCAATGAGCTTATGTTCCATCACAAGGTTTGTTTCCCCAACCACAAGGCCATATGCCCATTTCCATTATCAAAGGGTAGGAGATTCTGCTACTGGTACTAGTAGGCCACATCAAGCATGGGAATTAGTTAGTTACTTAGATAGATAGTAATTTGTTGGTCTCAATTTTCAAAAGTCATAAAGGGTAACCTTTTTTGAAAATTAAAAAAAAACTCAGAAAAAGCATACTGTTATGAACCTTATACTTTCAGTTACAATTATACTAAATAGTTCTGCAGTTAATCTAGTCCTGGCAGAAGCTCATGTGGCCTTAATGCTTTGGCTTTCCTTAAGAGTGCCTGGCCTGGTCAGCCACAAAATGGTGTATGAGCAAAAATAGGAAAAGGGGCTCTGGTTTTGACGATGACTATGTACAAATAAAAATGTTTATAAGAAATAAATTAGAACCAAAAGTGTGAGGCAGGCTATAAATACATCAAGGCGTTTCTGGTGACACCATAAAGCACTGGGACTTCACTCTGCCTTTGTTTATTGGATGTCAGTGGCTTTATTTACTGCTCTGTAATTCATGGGTGAATCATATATTTAGCAGCACCATCACGTCAAGAAAAGGCATGATTTCAAGTGTGTTTTCCCCCTCTTGGGTACACCAGCAGACAGTGTTTACGCAGTGCTGTTCAAAGGGATTTTCTCTTAAAGTTTGTGTGTGTGTGTGTGTGTGTGTGTGTGTGTGTGTGTGTGACTGAGTGAGTGTACAGGTCTGCCATATTAAGAAAAAAAATCACTGTAAAATGAGTCCATTCTACTGAGAATTTCTTTCATGATTCTCTCTTGCACTATTTCATAATGACAAAGATGTCCTGCAAACGCTGGAAGTGTGTGTGGGAAAGGTGACCATAAAAATGTGCTGAGCTGAGTGTGTATGTGTGCGCACTCGTTTAAACTTTCCATTTACAGTATTTTTCTTGCCTAGCTTTGTCCTACCTTTCTTGCTGTTGGCACGTGCTTTCTCTAGAGCAGCTACCTTGCCCCCTTGGCAGGGCTCCTGTGCCTTGTCTGCCTGCAGGTCAGGCAAAAATCCAACAGCAGCTGCTTTCCTTGCCTCTGCAATTGTACTGTGGAGAGGCAGCTGTCATGATGATATTGGGGGAAGGCCGTGGCCTGATTGGTTTATTGGCTGCTGGTATCCCAGTGGTCCCAACATTCCAACAGAGAGGAGATGGGCAAAAAAAACTCATTGGTCTGTTGGCTGCTGCTATCACAATGGTCCTTTATTCTGCCTTGAGAATGATAATATTTACAGCTGTTCCTTGAGGCTCAAGACAATGTTGGGGGTTGTCCTCATAGTTGAAAGGGTTTACAGCAGACTTCTCTAGCCTGGTTTTCTCCAGACATTTCAGACTACAGGTCCCATCCTAGGATCCTCGTACCTACGGGATCACCTCTCCTGGTATGCCCCACAGAGGACCTTAAGGTCCATATATAGCAACACCCTAGAGGTCCCGGGCCCTAAGGAAGTTAGATTAGCCTCAACCAGAGCCAGGGCCTTCTCAACACTGACTCCGGCCTGGTGGAATGCTCTGTCTCTTGAGACCAGGGCCCTGCGGGATCTGATCTCTTTCCGCAGAGCCTGTAAGACAGAGTTGCTCCACCTGGCCTTTGGCTCAGAATCAGTTTGATTCCCTCCCCCTTTTTCTTTTTCCTTTCTCCTCCTATGATGAGTTTGCTCCCTAATTGTTTTAATGTTGTATCTTAATCTTTTAAATTGTATTTTAATCAACTTGTTTTTATTATTGGTTGTTAGCCGCCCTGAGCCCGGTCTTGGCTGGGGAGGGCAGGGTATAAATTCATCATCATCATCATCATCCCTTGACTATGTCTGTGCCTCGCTTTGCACATTTGCACAATTTTGCCCTCACACTCATGACAACCGCTTTTGTCTTGAAGGAAGAGGAGGAGGAAGTGCTGGCAGCCTGTAGCTGTTTTGTGGCTCACTGCAGAGCTTCAGTCCCTTGGGGCTTGTCAACCTGGCACCTTCCATGACAGAGCTGACCATTCATTGTACAGAATTAACATTTATGTCATGGTTTCTCGCGCACTGGGAACCAGAATTAGAGAAAAGGGGTCACTCGTTCAGATATAGCAATTAACAGAACTTCGTTTTAATTTGTAATGGGGAGAGAACTTTTAAGTTAGGGCTGAGCCACATCTTTCCCAGGTTTGCTTTTTGCCTCAAAAAAGCAATTCTGGAGAGGTTTCCCAACACCTAAATCCAAATTTTATTATGATTGTTCGAAGTCAAATTTTCCTTGACCTTTTGAAACTGTGTGGTGCCATTTTCGTTCTCAATCTCTTTCCTCCTTGAAGGATTCTAGCCAATCAGCAATTTCAGCCAATCACAAATCAATACTGGATCTGTAAATTAGGTATTCAGATGTACCTATTGTTGATTTCATGAATGACAAATTAAGCTCATTTTTATTGAAAGTCAATGCCATCTATACTCCCCAGGGCACAAGAATGGACAATGTGTATGGTGGTCCTAGGCTGCCCAGACAACAAGACCTCCCTTAGTCTTGCTGATGAGGTCCAAAGGAAAGCAGAGCTATACATTTGGCACCAGCTTGGCTCAGGAGCTGCCAGAAGGAGGTACACAAGTGCCATCAAACTGCCTTAGGGACTCCACTGCTTGGAATAAGCATTCCTTCAAGGAAGATCATAAGAAGAGTCCTGCTGCATCAGACCAAATTCCAGTCCAGCATCCTGTTTGCTCAATGTTCAACCACCTGCCCCTTGGGAAGCTCACTAGCAGAATAGCAGGGCTCTAGCACTCTCTCACTTGACCCAAGGCAAATGGCATTCAGCCTCTGACCCTGGATGTAGGATAATGCCACCTCAATTAGCAGGCATTCATTCTGGTGGTTCCTTCATTGCGAGAAGTGAGGTTACAGCAGGCACAGGCAAACTCCGGCCCTCCAGGTGTTTGGGACTACAGTTCCCATCATCCCTGACCACTGGTCCTGTTAGCTAGGGATGATGGGAATTGTAGTCCCAAACATCTGGAGGGCCGGAGTTTGCCTATGCCTAGGTTACAGGGAACCAGGCAGAAGGCCTTCTCGGTAGTGGTGTCCACCCTGTGGAATGCCCTCCCGTCAGATGTCAAGGAAATAAACAACTCTCTGACTTTTAGAAGACATCTGAAGGCAGCCCTGTTTAGGGAAGTGTTTGATGAATTTATCGTGTTTTTAATATTCTATTGGGAGCCGCCCAGAGTGGGCGGGATATTATTATTATTATTATTATTATTATTACTTTATGCACCATCTAAATCATCCAATCTAAGGTAGAATATCCCAATGCAGATTATCCTTCTGGAAAGCCTGAATAACCAAAGCCTAGACCTTTTTCTGCCCATCCATTTTTCCAGATTCACAAAGTTTAAAGCAGGTGCGTGCGTGCTTGTTGTCATTTATGATGATGATGGTGGTGGTGGTGGTGGTGCTGTGGATATAAGGTCCCGTCCCCCCCAAACTGAATGCTTCTCTCTTCTGACAAATCTGTCTCAGAATGACAGGATCTCCACTGGGAACATCTCACACATTGAGAAAACCAGCTGTATCAACAAGAAAACCGACAGACACCTAAACCTCAGGCCAGGGAACAAGTCTTTTAAATGCTTGGCAGCTGAGAAAATTGGTAAGCAGAAACAGGGGATGGGTAGGAATAACAACTCCCCTGAAAATCTGTAAAACAACAGGCAAGACTGAACTGTTCCTAATGCAGGTGCGGTATAGACATATTAAATGGTGTGGACAAATGCTCCGGTGACTGTTCATAGCTCCAAGGAAAGTTATGTAGTGCATGAGGTTTAAAGTAGGCCTACATATGCTCACAGTCACACTCCTTTGCTTATACATCCGTTCAGGCACAAAAGCTCCTCTAGGTGCTTATCTCCGCCACTGTCAACCGGAGATGTTGACAAAAGCAAACAAGAAAAGGCAAGAAGAAAGCAAGCTCAGAGGCAGCTGGCTTGGAAAGTATCTAATTTGATGCCATTCCCTTTCAACTTGCGTTCTGTTGAAAAAAATAAAGGCCTTTGCACTCACAGAACTCCCTTGATTTCCATCTTTGCTTCTAATGAATACTGAATATATAGATCTATCTATAATATATAGATGCCACTCTCCTCTTCCTCACCCATCCAGGCCTCCACTTTCCCAGTTTTGCTGCTCAATATCCTTCAGCAAGAGATGCCAAAGATGGGACCCACCCAGGGTCATTTACATGCCCAACATGTTTTCCAGTTGCGGTGCTATGTTCCCAAGTTACCCATACTGACATAATCTCATCACAGCTTGATTATGAGTGTAAGGCGGGTGGCGCTGTGGGTTAAACCACAGAGCCTAGGACCTGCCGATCAGAAGGTCGGCGGTTGGAATCCCCACGATGGGGTGAGCTCCTGTTGCTCGGTCCCGGCTCCTGCCAACCTAGCAGTTCGAAAGCACGTCAAAGTGCAAGTAGATAAATAGGTACCACTCCGGCGGGAAGGTAAACGGCGTTTCTGTGCGCTGCTCTGGTTCGCCAGAAGAGGCTTAGTCATGCTGGCCACATGACCTGGAAGCTGTACACTGGCTCCCTCGGCCAATAAAGCGAGATGAGCGCTGCAACCCCAGAGTCGGTCACGACTGGACCTAATGGTCAGGGGTCCCTTTACCTTTACCTTAAGCATGAACCAATTCAATGCCCTGCATCAATAGGAGTATAGCATCTAGATCAAGGGAAGTAATAGTGCCACTGTATTCTGCTCTGGTCAGACCTCACCTGGAGTACTGTGTCCAGTTCTGGGCACCACAGTTCAAGAAGGACACTGACAAACTGGAACATGTCCAGAGGAGGGCAACCAAAATGGTCAAAGGCCTGGAAACGATGCCTTATGAGGAACGGCTAAGGGAGCTGGGCATGTTTAGCCTGGAGAAGAGGAGGTTAAGGGGTGATATGATAGCCATGTTCAAATATATAAAAGGATGTCACATAGAGGAGGGAGAAAGGTTGTTTTCTGCTGCTCCAGAGAAGCGGACACGGAGCAATGGATCCAAACTACAAGAAAGAAGATTCCACCTAAACATTAGGAAGAACTTCCTGACAGTAAGAGCTGTTCGACAGTGGAATTTGCTGCCAAGGAGTGTGGTGGAGTCTCCTTCTTTGGAGGTCTCTAAGCAGAGGCTTGACAACCATATGTCAGGAGTGCTCTGATGGTGTTTCCTGCTTGGCAGGGGGTTGGACTCGATGGCCCTTGTGGTCTCTTCCAACTCTATGATTCTATATACCAGTTGATTGATATCAAATAAGATAATATCACATCAGTATGGTTGTCTGAACAGAGTCAGAATTTCATTTCATTTCATTTTTGCAAACTTCTAGTCCTCATGGTTACTGGATGAAAACTGATGAAATTAGGATAGATTCTGAAATACAGGATCTTTCAGGGACTTTTCAGATGTCAGGGGGTTAAAAATATCTACATTTAGAATGGGCCTCAGTACCACCAACACTACCACTCTCAGCATTTCTCTTTATATGGCCCTTAGTTCATTGGTAATGATATTTATTACCTCCATATCTTCATCTCTTGGTCAGTTTCTAATCCAGCTCATGATTTTCCAATTCTCACCCCCTAAATAATGCAACCAAAGAAATTGTAGAAACTGTATTATGCAGCGATCTAATTTGGCACGCCAGCCTTAGAATAACACAATTTGGGTATTTGGGATGTAACATTCCAACTTTTCTTGCCTACACCGAAGAGAGATTGCGAATATTTTCTTTAGATGTAGAATTCATGCATTAATAGTGTATGTAATTATAATATGGCCAGTTACAAAGAAACACAAACAGGAGTGGACATCAAATGAAGACCTCGGCTGCACAAAGATTATTATACATAGTCATCACTTTTTAAATGGCTGCTCAGAGATGTATTCTGCTTCTTTCCTTCCAAGGAAATGAAGATCTGTCCCTCCCAAAGGGTTCTAGTTAGCAGGGTGTGCAAATTTAGTTATATTGACTCAGTAAAATTAGTGGGACTCTCTAATTTAATTGAGACATGTTCAGACAAAGCTGGCTGCTTCTCCAGAAACACCAGGAGTCCGTTGTGCATCTGTCATCAAAGCTAGAATGGACTGTAATAATTAGCATTTATACAGCACTTTAAAATGTTACTGAGTGCTTCACATACATTGTCTTAGTAGTTCTGAGTCTGTCAGCAGCTCTGTATGGCAGGAGGGCGGTGCTGGGGGTGGTTAAGGATCAGAGAGCATGGCTTGCAAAAAGCCATTTAATGAGCAAGGCCTAGGCCCTGGTTTGCTCAGAAACCCATTGGACTGTGGCCACATTTGCACAAAGTCTTTAAAGCACTGTGGTACCACTTGGGACAGCCATGCCTTTCCCCAAAGAATTCTGGGAACCACAGTTTGTTTAGGGGGCTGAGAATTGTTAGGAGATCCCCTATTCCCTTCCCAGGGGTGCAGTTCCCAGAGTTCCCTATGAAGAGGGACAGATACCACTCTGAGGGAAATAGGGGTCTCTTAGCAACTCTCAGCACTGCTAACTACAGCTCCTTGAATTCTTTGGGAAAAGCCGTGCCTGTTCAAAGTGGTATTATTGAGGTTGAATGTATGGCGTTAATGCAATGGGGTGTGTGAATGTGCTCAGGAGGAACCATAGCTCACTCTTAGAACCCATACAGTGGTACCTCGGGTTACATAGGCTTCAGGTTACAGACTCCGCTAACCCAGAAATAGCGCTTCAGGTTAAGAACTTTGCTTCAGGATGAGAACAGAAATCGTGCTCCAGCAGCACGGTGGCAGCAGGAGGCCCCATTAGCTAAAGTGGTGCTTCAGGTTAAGAACAGTTTCAGGTTAAGTACGGACCTCCGGAATGAATTAAGTACTTAACCCAAGGTACCACTGTACTTTGTATGCAGGAGGCTTTGGTTTCCATTCTTGGTCTCTCCAGGTAAGAGAATCGGGCAGCAGGTGACAGGGGTGGCCTCTACCCAGGGCTTTCTTTCAGTGAGTACTAAGGATACGCAGTACCAGCACCTCTTTTTGTTGTTAAAAAGTGGGGCACATACCGTACTGCAACAACTTCATGGTGAGTACTGGCACCTATTTTTCTAAGGGGGGGGAGCACTGCCTCTACCTGAGATACCAGAGAACTGCCAGAAGTCAGAGTAGATATTATTGGGCCAGACAGATGAATAGTGGGACTACAAGACAATTTTCTACATTCATGCCAGTGTGCCCCTTCCGACACACCGTTTGTGAGTTGCTGCCTTGGTGAGTGCAGTGGATATGATGATACGAGGGAAGAGGTACAGCTCATTGGGAAACTAATTACCGATTGTCTGCCACCAGGATTTGTAAATAACAAGCTAAGCTTTACAGTGACTGTAAGATCGCCTGGCCTCGATTACAGGCCCATATTTGCATCTATTATGCATCTATTTTCCCACAGATTAATGTGTCCCATTAAGAGTGATCAGGGGATGGCAGGATCATTATCTGTCCTCATTAGTGTGGGGGGGGGAGCCTTGGACTCAATTAACATGATTTTTCATCTTCTTCCAAGGCCCCTTTCAGGTTGCTAGACCACTCAGCTAATATCAATGGGCCAAAGTATTTGGCGTGTGCATGTAAATGGGAGGCTGTGTGGGCACTCATGGCAAAGACATCAAACAAGCCTCACATTTTATTTTCTTTCACTCTTCAGAGCCTGTAGAGTAGAGTGGGAAGGTGCCAAATCCCGTTTTAGCTTCTGTAAGAGCATCTAAATGTCAACAAAGAGCCTTGTTAACTGCTATCCTTTCCAAATGTTCCTATTTCTAAAAATGATTGCTCTCCCCTCCTTTTCTTAAAGTTGCTTTCTCCTACTATCGCCTACCCTCTCCCCACCTATCTGTGCAGATCCTAAGGAGCTGATTTAATGATCTGCTGCTATAGCAGCTTCTGCTTTTAGACTGCAAACAGAAGAAGAGTAGTTATAAATGTGTGGCACTCTTCTATCCATACTAGGCCTCCACGGCAGTTTGTTCACAACTGTACACCCCAGGAACTGTTTGAAGATTATATGTGTCCACACAAAATGTTTAGTCTTCCAACCTTAGGAAAATCAAACCAGCACCCATGTGATGCTATTAATGCATATATCCTAATACCAGAAAACCCAGGGATGGGCAACCTTTATGTTCCCAAGGGCCACATGCAGCAGTGGGTGGACACTCAGGGGCCACATTTTATTGGGCATGGGTGAGCTGGCAGTACATCTGGTGGCTGCTGTCCACTGAGACTGGTGTAGGGTGGAATACAGGGAGCCCGAACAGCAGGTGGCACCAGACCAATGTCAGTCAGAGCCAACTACAGTGGTACCTCAGGTTACATACGCTTCAGGTTATAGACTCTGCTAACCCAGAAATAGTACCTCGGGTTAAGAACTTTGCTTCAGGATGAGAACAGAAATCGTGCTCCAGCGGCGCTGCAGCAACAGGAGGCCCCATTAGCTAAAGTGGTGCTTCAGGTTAAGAACAGTATCTGCAGGGTTCTTTTAGATGGAGGATGAATGATGGGTTGTTGAGGAATGACTTGGTGGTGGGAAAGGCCCAAAAGACTCTAAAGGATTATTTTGAATTAAATATAAATACAAAGGTAGAAGCAAGAGTCGTGTGGGATGCTAGCAAAGCTGTAATGAGAGGGTTCCTCATACAACAGAATGCTATAAGGAAAAAACTTCAAAACGAAAAAAAGAAAAAAATTCTTTCCCAAATAAATGAGAAAGAAAAGGAATTAAGATCAAAGCCTAAAAGCCAACAGATACAAAAAGAAATTAAAGCCTTGCAGATTCAATTTTCTCAAATTATAAATCAAGAAATAGAATGGAAAATAAAATTAATGAAACAGAGAAATTTTGAATCTGCAAATAAATGTGGGAAACTGCTGGCTTGGCAATTAAAAAAAAAGACAGAGACAAAATACGATCACAAATATTGTAACAGAGGGGAAATCTGTGGAAAATCCTGGGGATATTAGAAAATGCTTTCAGAAATATTTCAAACAACTGTATAAAAAAGACAAAGAAGATAAAGATAAAATTGAGCAATTTCTTAGATTAAATGAAATGCAGAAAATTCCCGGAGATAAAAGATTACTACTCAATGACATGATTACAAGACAGGAGGTAGAGACGGCAATAAATCAAATGCAATTGGGCAAAGCCCCGGGACCGGATGGACTATCTGCCAAGTATTATAAAACTTTCAAAGACTGGTTAATTCAACCGTTGGCAGAGGTATGTAATAAGATATTGAGAGGGGAGAGGGCCCCTGAAACCTGGAGAGATGCATATATAACTCTGATACCAAAATCTGAACAAGATAGATCGGATGTAAAGAATTATATGCCAATTTCATTACTTAATGTGGATTATAAAATATTTGCAAATATTTTGGCTAGCAGATTGAAAAAAGTCTTAACAGAATATATACATAAAGACCAGGCAGGTTTTCTGTCTGGAAGACATATGAAAGATAATATCAGAAATATAGTAGATATTCTGGAAAGATTACAGGCTAAAAGAAATACTAAAGCATTATTAATGTTTATTGATGCGGAGAAAGCCTTTGATAATATTTATTGGCTTTTTATGGGAAAAAATTTGGAAAGTATTGAAGTTGGCCAACAATTTTTAAATAGCATTAAGGCGATTTATTCTGAACAAAAAACTAAAATTATTGTTAACAATGTGGTATCGGAGGAAATTAAAATTGAGAAAGGAACCAGGCAGGGATGCCCACTTTCCCCCCTATTATTTATTTTGGTCCTGGAGGTATTGCTGAATATATTGAGGAAAGAAGAGAAAGTAAAGGGCATTGTGGTAGGATCTAAGCAGTATAAATTAAAAGCCTTCGCTGATGATTTAGTGTTAACTCTACAGGATCCAGAGTCCAGTGTAGTGAAAGCACTGGAGATGATACAGGAGTACAGGCAGCTGGCAGGTTTGAATAATTGAATAAGAGCAAAACTAAAGTAATAGAAAAGAACTTAGATAAAGATGAAAGGAATACTATTACTGAGAAAACAGGCCTGGCATTTACGAAGAAGGTTAAATATTTGGGGATGAACTTAACAGTGAAAAATCTGAATTTATATAAAGATAACTATGAGAAAGTATGGAATGAAGTAAAAAGAGATTTGGAGATATGGTCAAATTTAAAATTCTCACTCATGGGTCGAATATCGGTGGTGAAGATGAATGTATTGCCGAAAATGCTGTTTTTGTTTCAAACTTTGCCTATTATTGACAGTGTTAAATGTTTTAAAGAATGGCAGAAGACCCTGTCTAAATTTATATGGCAGGGGAAAAAACCGAGAATTAAGTATAAATTGCTTACAAACATAAAAGAAAGAGGAGGTTTTTCCCTACCAGATTTGAAGATATATTTTGAAGCAGCGGCCTTCTGCTGGATTAAAGACTGGATTAAATTAGAAAATGAGGATATTTTGGACATGGAGGGTCTGGATAATAGGTTTGGATGGCATGCATATCTTTGGTATGATAAAGTAAAGGCCCATAGTGGTTTTAAGAATCATATAATCAGGAAGGCACTTTATAATGTGTGGATTAGATATCAGGATCTCTTGGTTAGAAAAACACCCAAATGGATTTCACCGATGGAAGCCCAGGCACAAAAAAAGTTAAATATGGAGAATAAGTGGTTGAGATACTCTGATTTATTGATAGAGGATGCTGAGAGATTTAAATTAAAACCATTTGAATTAGTTAAAGATAAAATAAATTGGCTTCAATATTATCAAATTAATGAGCTATTTAAGATTGACAAGAAAAAAGGTTTTGCAACAGAAAAAACCAAATCGGAAACGGAGTTGTTAGATACTAATGTTAAGAATATGTCTAGGATGTATAGCTTGCTATTGGAGTGGCACATGAAAGATGAACAAGTAAAGTCGGTTATGATTGATTGGGCACAAGATGTGGGACACAACATAATGATGGAGGATTGGGAGAGACTTTGGAAGAAAGGGGTTAAGTTTACCGCATGTAGTTTGCTAAAGGAAAATATTATGAAAATGATGTATAGATGGTACCTAACCCCTGTTAAATTGGCAAAGATGTACCATAACTGTGACAATGTATGTTGGAAATGTAAAGATAAAGAAGGTACCTTCTATCATATGTGGTGGACTTGTCCCAAGGTAAAGGACTTCTGGGAAAAAAATTATAATGAATTTTTAAAAATGCTGAAATATACATTTATTAAGAAACCAGAGTCCTTTCTCCTTGGGATAATTGGTACTGAACTGCCCAAAAAAGATGTGAAAGTATTTCTGTATGCCACAACAGCTGCTAGGATTTTACTAGCCAGTAAATGGAAAACACAAGAATTACCAACGTTAGAAGAATGGCAGATGAAGATGATGGAATACATGGAGCTGGCAGATCTCACCGGGAGAATCCGCGACCAGAAAGAAGAGGACTACCAAGAAGACTGGAAGAAATTTAAAGACTATTTGAATAAATATTCTAACATTAAAGATATGTAACCACTTGAAAGAACTTGGCCTAGGACAAAATTAGATTTATATGTATAATTAAGAAAATGCACTATAAGAAAGGTAAAGAAAGTGGAATATAACTGTAATATTGTATTATGAAACAATGATGTTGGAAACTGCTACATTCAATTTAAGTGGAAATTCAGATGGAGGAGATTAGAGGAAGTCAACTAAAATGTTTATGAAAACGGATCTTAAATAATTAATTGATTTTTTTTCTTTTCTTTTTTCTGTTTAGGTATGTTAAGTCGGTTACTCTTTTTTCTTTATTTATTTCTATATTGTTGTTATGTTGTTGTGTTATTGTATATTATTTTATGTTTGTTTGTTATGTTTATTGAAAACTAATAAATATTATTGAAAAGAAAAAAAAAGAACAGTTTCAGGTTAAGAACAGACCTCCGGAACAAATTAAGTACTTAACCTGAGGTACCACTAATTCTAATTTTGTCCCCATCCTCCTCTCTGCTCACTTCTGCAAGGGCAACACTGGTGATGGGACAGAAGTGGTAACTGGTACTTATTGGACCTCAAAGGGCAGAAGGCAAGAAGACCCAGAGGCCACGTAATTGTAGTTTTGTTCCCATCTTCCTCCCTGCAAGCGCAACACTAAGGAGAAGGAGGAAGAAGACGGGAGGCAATACTACAACCCTAGTCTGCTTGTAAGTAACAAGGGTAAATAGGGTCTGGCTGAGTGCAGACTGAGGTTGGTGAGGCTGTGCCCCATTCACCCTAATGGAATAGCCTCCACAGCTCATTGGCAAGCACACACGCTCATTAGGAAGACTTAGGCCAAGCTGTCTGCCCCAAGACAGGATTATCCTACCCCTAAAACGTCTCTGACAGGTGCCTGTCACGCCAAAGATCCATCACTCCATTTCTAACTTCAGGTGCCTCTAGGAAGCCGTAAAGAGGACATATGGAAAATGACCTTCTCTGTTGTTTGTCCCCAGCATCAGGAGCACAACCTCTGTACACGGAAGCCCCACAAAAATCTGATTTGATAGCAGCTGATAGACTTATCCTCCATGAAGTTGCCTAATGCTTTTAAGAGCCATCAAATCTAGTGGCCATCACTACATCTTAGGCAGCTTCTTCTATTGCTGGGGTGCTCTTGGGAAACTATCATCCTCTTTGTAGTTTAAAACATGAGCTTCTTACCCTATCTTCCTCAACAGATAATGTGAATGATCGCTGTGCCTCTTCTTTCCGATATTCTTTTAAAATACTTGAAGATCCAGTCCAATCCTGTTAGTAATATTTTCTCTAGGCTAAACATATCCGTTTCCTTTCCATACGTAAACCCTTTAACATCTTCATAGTTCTCCTCCAAATCCCTTCTAGGTTGTCAGCCTCTGTGACAAGTTGACATTACATCCCAGGCTGCTAATCAAGACAAAAACTCCCAAGATACGGGCCAGGAAGCGGCCCTTGTTGTTTGGTTTTTAGCTATGTGGACACTGCTCATAGAATCATAGAGATGAAGGGTTGGAAGGGATGACGAGGGTCATCCAGCCCAACCCCCTGCAATGCAAGGATCTTTTGCCCAACGTGGGGCTCAAACCCACAACCCTGAGATTAAAAGTCTCATGCTCTACCGACTGAGCAAGAACAGCAGCACATTACTCTTTAAACAGCACGGTATTTCTTGCTTACTATTAATGGACTACGGTTGCCTGGTATCTCCTTTCTCCATTAATTAGTATTTTTATTATATATTTATTTATTTAGTTCTATATTTATTTATACCCTGCCTTTTCCACTGTTGGGACTCAAGGCGTCTTAAATGCATGTACTTACGGTAAATTTCACATTAAACAGTGTTATCTGCTAATACAAACAGGGGTTCTTAAACAAACTTTTTTCTCATCAGCACATGAAACAAGGGTTGAAGTGTCTGCTATAAAGGGAAGGGGGGGTGCCCCCTGCATCACTCCTATGTGAAACCAAGCCTTCTGTTTTCAGGACACAACCAAGCTGCCCTACCCTTTGAGCTGATTTCAAATGTTACTAGCAGCGCAATGCAATGCGAGTTTATCAAAAGTGTGTAAGACTTAATTTCAGACTCAATGATTATTTGGCAGGAATTTAAGATATTGTGTGTGATTTGTTTATTTAAGATATTTATAAAGCACATTGCATGTTTAACCTTCGCAAAGCAATTTACATAAGAAGAATTGAAACACTTGTTTAAAATGAAACAGCAATGAGAATGGAACATAGAAGTTTCATAGGCTCATAGATTTAGAAGGCACCCTGAGGATCATCTAGTCTAACCCCCTGCAATGCAGGAATATACAGCTGTCCCATAAGGGGATCGAACCTGCAACCTTGGCATTCTCAGCACCACGCTCTAACCAACTGAGCTACCCACTGCCCTGAGCCAGGGTGATGACTCTGAAACACCTAAGGCCTGGGCGAGTTGTTTTTGTTTTTTAAGGTCTCATCACAGTTGGGACATATTTGATCAGCAATAGTTCCCAAACTTCTCCCACTCATGGACCACTTGAAAATTGCTACAAGCCCTGGCAGGCCACTTAATGGTTTTTCTGCCTGTTGTAGCAATTATAATCTGTGCAGTGTTAAATGATGTATTGTTTTTAATTGTAGTTGTACAGACATATCATAGACCACCTGAATGAAGCTTGCATACTACTGGGCGGGGGGCAGTCTGTAGACCACAGTTTGGGAGCCCCTGAGCATCCACTTTTTGAAGAGCTGAATGGCATTTAAAGCCTCAGGATAGTACAAGACAGTGATTACAGAAGAAGAAACAGAGGTAAGCCATATCACTTGCTCTCTATGCCTGGGCTCAGCCCTTGAAGTTGTGAAGTAATAATAAAGTACAGGGCTCTGACCATATGCAGAATATATTTTTTTCCATTTCACCTCTGAGTTAGCACAATCCCACATATATGGGATGAGCAAAAAAAGGCTCCTTGGGGCTGAGGATGGGTATGCCAGTAAGGCTTCAACTCTCACCAGTTCAAAGTGAATGAGGAATTCTAGAAGGGGAACTATTTAGGAATGGGCAAACAGGAGCAGTTGCCCCCCACTCCACCCCATGTTTCAGATCTCATGTGATGTATATCTGAACAACTGACAGGTCCTACACGCTACATGACTCCTGTAATCAAGAGCTCAATGGGTGGACAGAGAAATTGACAGCCCCGTCTGCAGCAGCAGAGAAGAAAGAAACAGAGGGCCCATCACTGTATCTGAAGCCCTGTTTAGAAATATCTTAAATAAATAAAGTTGAGGTGGAAGGTAGATTGTTAATGGTGCTGAGACTTGTTAAGTGGCGTCTATTCCCTTCCCAGAGCTAAAATCTCCAGAGTTCCATGGGCAGAGGAGTTGATTGTTAAACTACAACTCTCAACAGCCTTCACAAACTACAGTGCCCAGAATTCTTTGGGGGAAGCCATGATGGCTGTTTAAAGTGGTATCACAGTGCTTTAAATGTATGGTGTGAATGTGACTGATGTTCATCCAATGAATTGTGATTGGCAACCATTACGGATAATGCAACTGTCATTATCGGTAAATGAAACTTGAGTAAAGAAAGTCTAACTTAGTCAAAGCTTGTGTTCTCAATGCTATCCATACTTACTTCAGAGTAAGCCGCACCCTACCCAGCGAGACTTACTGTTCTGAGTAAATATGCCTACGGTTGGCCTGTGACATTCATTGGATGTGCATGTGTTTTTAATGGGCAATTGCAGTTAGATTCGGGGGGGGGGGTGCTATAGTTCTCCCCTGACACTCCACTGTACAAATAGGTCACTTGTACAGTGGTACCTCAGGTTAAGAACTTAATTTGTTCTGGAGGTCCGTTCTTAACCTGAAACTGTTCTTAACTTGAGTTACCACTTTAACTAATGGGGCCTCCCGCTGCCGCCACACCGCTGCTGCACGATTTCTGTTCTCATCCTGAAGCAAAGTTCTTAACCTTAGGTACTATTTCTGGGTTAGCGGAGTCTGTAACCTGAAGCGTCTGTAACCTGAAGCATCTGTAACCTAAGGTACCACTGTAATTCTGATTACTTCAGTTCCGCTCCATCTTAATTCAGAGGGGAGCAAAAAGTTTGGAAGGCATAACTACATGGCAGACACCTATGACGACTTGTGTATTTAGACCATGCATATCGTTTTAGAGAAGGCGGGTTGATGCTGATGATTTAATGCCAAATATCCCATAATGTACCAGATGTGCCGATTCACTCATGTCTCAAAGTAGCTGAAATAATTGTGAAGAGCATTAGCACAAGGAGCGTGTCTCCATATTAAGCTGTGTGCTAAGTACATTTTCTAGCCTGCTGAGGAAGGTGTGAAGGGAAGCGGTAAATGTCTGCTACAGATTAATACAACTCCCCTCCCCCCCCCATGTTATTTACAATGTTCGCCACCAAATTTCAGGAGCAGTTCTTCAGACCCGATTCTCCTGGAGGCCCCTTGAGGTTCGCTTCCCTGCTTTCCCTGACTCTAGCAGCCCCTTCAATAAAAACAAAGAGGAGATGCTGCTGGTAGAAATATCAACAGCTCCTACTTCAGTATTTGTGGTTGTGCCTGATCCTACAACAGCCTTCCATAAGCTGGTGTCCTCCATATGTTGGTGGTCTCCAGCTCCCATAATCCCCAACCTGCCTGACCAACCAACTGCCAGGGCTGATGTGATCTGTATCTAACAGCATCTGGAGGGCACCAGGTTAGGGAACATAGAAGCCTGGGAAGCTGCCTTATACTGAGTCAGATCATTGCTCCATTTAGCTCAGTACCAGTAGTGGCTTTCCAAGGGTTTCAGACAAGGGTCCAACCTTACCTAAAGATGCCAGGAATGAACCTGGGACCTCCCATGTGCAAAACAGTTGCTTTTTATTCTTTTATACAACACTTGAGAGATTTTTTAATATTAAAGAGGCTGATAACTTTAATTGATACACAAAATGTTTGACCTTGGATGACTTTCAACTCATTTTATTATGGGTAATATCCATTGTAAGTCATACTCAGAATAGATCCCCTAAAATCAATGTGGGTCAACTCTGAGTATGACTTAGTTGGATCTCTCCCTCTTCCTCTCTCTTCTTCAAATGCATGTCCAAAGTTCAGAAGGACTTCAGGTGTGCATCGAGATTGCTGAGCACTTGAGAGAACAACCTGTCAACAAAGTTTGAATTTCTGTTGCTAAAAATGCATTCATTCATTTATTTCATTTATATCCTACCTTTCCTCTAAGGAGCTCAAGGTGGCATTCATGGTTCCCCGCCCCCCATTTTATCCTTATCCCTGTAAGGGAGATTAAGCTGCAAGACTGCAGCTGGCACAATATCACCCAGTGAGCTTCATGACAGAACATGGCTTTAAGGCTTTTCACACCTGAGGTGTAAGTTTTTCAGACCAACCTTGTTTTTATGGTTGTGGGTTGTTTTTAATGCTGTAACCCACCCTGGGACCTTATTGTGAAAGGCAGTTTAACAACAACAACAACAACAACAATGGATTTGAACCCAGGTCATAGCTGTCAGCGTTTCCCTTTTTTTAAGGAAAATCCCCTTATTCCGAATAGGATTCCTCACAAGAAAAGGGAAAAGTTGACAGCTATGACCCAGGTCTCCCAGGTCCTAATCCAATGCCAGAACTACTACAGCACACTGGCTCTGAGACTACGCTGGCACACACAATGGCAGGTCAGTCGCAAGCAAGTATGCTCCATGGAAGTTCATTCGGATAGGAATGGAAACCATAGCTTCCTTTAAGGGCGCAATGATAGAATATTCCACAACTGGTGGGAGGAAAGGTACTTCCAGGTTCATATTTCAGAGCTCAAGGACAGTTATGACTTCTAACTCATGGAGCAGCGGAGCTGCAAAATGAGCAATGTCTGTGATGTTCTATGCAGCTGTGGATGTCTAAAATGAGAAATCTCCTTGAAATATGAGCCATTTGGCCAGAGAGAATACGAACTAGTCAGGCCACTTGATCTCCTCTCTTTTCCCACAGGTCAAGATCAGATATTTTGCATGGCTCCTACGCTGTTCTTTTTCTGAGGGGTTTATTTGAAAGATGCATAAATCTGAAGAGCCTGATCATTTCCCTTCTTCTCCTCTTTATTTATATGACTTTTGAAAATAAATTTCCAGCGAGGTCCCTTTTGATTTAACGAGGTGCTGCCAATTCTGCCAGTACTTTGGGTTTTACATTTTTTATTGAATGGGCCCCGAATTGAAAACTAGATTTCCTTCCAATTCCCCTCCACTTGCGAGGCGAGGGGAAATGAAAACGCCTGTCAGCAAAAGTAATGTGTTTAATACCGTGCCAACCCTAAACATCAGCAGAGATTTCTGTGTATTGCAAATAATTCTATCACCAACCTATATTGCTCAGCTGTGTTTTTATCTTTGCCGTAGGATAATATCAATATTTCAAAATGTGAGACAAGGAATGTTTTATGAGATTGATGTGGGAAAGAAGTGTGACAAATACATAAAAAAGGGCAGAGGGAAATGCAGGATAGTCATAAAAATGCTTTTCGGCTCCCATGGGGACTCACTGAGTTTATCCTTCCCTTATCAGAGACCCGTTGCAGTCTCCTTGGTAAATCTCTGTATTTAATCAAAAGGAAAGGCAATATTATCTTTTTAAAAAGTGGCCTCTTCTAACACAGGGGTGGGGAACCACAGGCCTGGGGTGTGTGAATCTGGCCCCCCAGGCTTCTCTGTCTCGCCCTTTGGACTCACCCCAAGCCAAACCCATCATTGGTCCTGCTCAGCATCCTCCTTGATTGCTTCCAACTAGCAGAATGTGTCCATGTACAGTGAGAATGCCTCTTGTTTTCCCTTGATGAAACTGTATGTGTTTGCATGAAACTCTTGACTTTTGCATGTCTCAAATGGAGCCTACTGTACAAAGACAAGAGTCACTGTCTGCCTCTGGCCCCATCCATGACTGGCATGCGGCCCCCAAAAGGTTGCTTACAAGCGAATGTGACCCTTGAGGCCTTTTTTTCTTTTTAGCGCCCAGTCCCAGATTCTAAACATACAATCTATTCTATATACTTGCATCAAATGTTGCCCCTAAAATTAGAGCAGATCTTCTTCTTTAATGCCTTTGCTTAAATTAAACCTGGTCTAGGCATGTAGTGAAGACAGGGGTGTCTGGCGTGCTCTGGTCCATGGGGTCACGAAGAGTCGGACACGACTAAACGACTAAACAACAACAACAGGCATGTAGTAGAAAGAGTGAATGAAGTTGCAGAGTTCTAGACTGCAGTATTTCACACTGCAAGTGAAAGATATCTTGCTTGAATGTAAAAGCAACAAAACAAAAAACAGCAACAGCAGAAAAGCAACAACACCAGTGTAAGTGGATAAATTGCGTCACAAAGCGAAAGTTGGGTTAGCTGTTGTTTTTGCCTTGGAATAATAGAATTGTAGAATTGTCGAGTTGGAAGGGACCTTACGAATCACCAACTCCCTCTAATGCAAGAATCTTTAGCCCAATGTGGGACTCGAACCCACATCCTTGAGATTAAGAGTCTCATGCTCTACCAAATGAGACTTGCACGTGTTTTTTCTTTTTTTAATGGAACGCCCTCCCATCAGATGTTAAGGAAATAAACAACCATCTGACTTTTAGAAGACATCTGAAAGCAGCACTGTTTAGGGAAGTTTTTAACGTTTGATCTTTTATCGTGTTTTTAATATTCTGTTGGGAGCAGCCCAGAGTGGCTGGGAAACCAGCCAGATGGGTGGGGTATAAATAATAAATTATTATTATTATTACAATCCTGTGCCTGAGCAAAAAAAGACCACAGAAGTGCAAATCAACAGCAAATTATTCTTGGGGTCCGAGAATCATTACTATTATTGTGCTTACTCATAATGTATATTGGTTTATTGGTAGTGGCCTTGTTATATTTTTCTGCCTTACTTTTGTAAGCTCCCACTTCCCACCCCTAAAATGAAGAACACAACAGTTTTGAGTGAGCACACAGGAACTTTGTTGTTGTTTACTGTTACTATCTTTATTCAGTTTTATACAGAACTCAGTGCGTTCAAAGGACTTGCATGCAGGTTTGTGACCACTTTTTATCTAATTGTCCATTCTCAAGGCAGCTGACTGATGCTAAAACTTTCAAAAATGATTTTTAAAATCCAGGTGCCCAACTTGGAACAAACTCAAAGCACTTGATGATTCTTGGAACTCTCAGTTCCCAACAAGATCCTCGCAGTAATCGG